TGTATGGAATATAATTTTACAGTATGTTTTTATGTTTGCAATACTGTTATTCTATATTTGTAACGTGCTAGATAGGTTGTTTATTATATTTCTAGTTTGGTCTTTCTCTCTCTCTTCGCATAACCTTCCCCCAATTTTTTTTTATTGCCACTTGAAATTACTTTTAACTCACTTACCCACTTTTTCATTTTTTTACTACATCAAACATCACTATCTTGGATGCTTTTCCTCTCCTCTTATGATGAAATTTTTAGTTTCTGTACTTTTTATGAAACTTATTAAAGCGATTCCTTAAAACCTTAATTCGGTTCTTTTTTCTCCTTGACACATGGTTTAATTATTAAAAGACATACTTCAATGGCAGAAAATCAAAAATTCATAACAAGTGAAGACAAGGCAACAGAGAACATTATATATTAAATATTTAGACAAAACAAAACACGGTGACTTTAATTGATTTTATTTCTGAAATGTATATGACATACCTAATTTAATACTAGATTTAACAATTTACCTATACCAAGAAAACTTATTATTATCTGACTGTTGTTTTCATACTAATTAATTAGGACTATCTTATAGCAATATGTGTCAGATTCAAATGCAGAAATACAGCTGTTAACTATTTGTATATATTCTTCACAAAATATAACTGACTGCAAGATTTGCTAGAACGTTTTTAATGTTGTGTTAACAAATTGGATTTCCGATCTCTCTTGTGAATCATATACTGCGTTGTTTTCAGTATTTTTATTCAAGTTTTATCCTACGTTTCATTCGTTTTACTGTGTCATCTTAAAAGAAAAAAATACAAAATCGTTTGCTTTGCTTTATGTAGAAACAAACTGTTAAATTGCATAGTGACACATTTTATGCCATAATCGAAACCAATTTGAAAAATATAATATATGGATACCTGAAGAAGACGGAACAACATTCTGTCGAAATATTTAGTATGTTCCCCCAAAACAAATTACTTCTTTATGCTTATAAATTGTTGTTTGCCAACTTATTGACATAATGTACTTCCATACTTAAGTATTACTTACAAGGCATATTTTCTAAGCCTTTGCCAGAACTTGCATAATAGCAGATCTCAGTTACAATTTGGACTTTTTTAAACATATTTCTTTAATATTGAGTCAACCAAAGGGAAAACTTTGAGAAAATTGTTGTATCCTCAAGATATTTTGCGCTAAAATACATTTAAAGCTTGTTTTTTAATATGGAAAAAAGAAAAAAATGTGAAGGCAAAAGGAAAAATAATTAATATTGGGAACCATTATTGAATGTCAATTAATACTTGAAGTAAGCAGGTTTATATCTAATAAGAAATTTTTGTATGTTTTGAATTTCAAACTGATCAGCGATTTTAAAAGTTATTTTTTTATTTCATTGAATTTACTTTTCATGGAACCAAACATGATCGCGCTTACTAAGGTTCCAAGCAAATCCTACGCTTGACTAAATCTAGTGCATTTATGTTTGCTTGGACTATAAAACAGGTCAATTTCGCATATAACAAACTTTCCGATCTCGAGTAGCTTACAACTGCTCACTTCCAGCAAATAAAATAAAGCACCGGTTTCCTGTTGACAGATGTAATGACAAAAATACTATACTAACAAATGGTTTATCCAATTATGTGCGTTGGGTAGCGAGTATATATTTTCCTCTCTTTCTCTTCAAAATACACGCATAAAATTCCGTGCGTTTCAGAATACTCAGACATATATACACAGCGTGATCACAAGTAAATAGACACCTAATTTTTCGTCATTTAATTGA